ATATATCATAATTTTTTTAATGCTTTATTGTACTTTTTCAGCCGTCGAGTAGCTACCAGGAGTTGAAGCTGTCATGGCTGTCGACGCTTTTACTTTTCGGCTATTTTCTAAACTTTTTTTCGATTTAGATGCAGATTTCCAAGTATACTAATTTTTGCTATTGAAGAAGTTCTAACGTTATCCAGGCTCAGCATTCATACCCCTATACCAGTTGTGACGTATTCAAAACTACTTTAATTTTTTTTTGCAATATTTTAAAAAAATAAATGAATTATGATATCTTATTTTGAATGACAGGGTAACCTTGCTTGGAATTAAATGTATTGCTAGAGGAGTTACATTTTGAGCAATAAAAATCTCATCTCAAAAAGGCACAATATTTTCCAAACAGTAGCTTGTGGAACTAGTGTCAGAAGACGCTTTAAATAGCAATACAGAAGGTTGGAGGGTTTAAAAGTTTAGAAAATAGCGCTTATTCTCTAGTTTTTGATTTACTGGTGCATATGTTGATTCCAAAATTGTTTATAAGCCGTTGCAGCAATTGTGAAGTTTAGTGCGCAAGGAAATCACAAATTGATAGTATTTCAATTTTTTTGAATAGTTATTTTGTCATCCGGCAATGAAATGGAAAACTAATTATTAGGTTGTTTAACGACCAGTAAAATATTCAAGCAGATTTAGTGATACTTTTTCATTCATTTAAAATTTAAAATTGAAAAGAAGATAAATTTTCGGTAGGAGAGCGATGTTGGTCGGGTTAAAAATGAGTAACTGCGAAAATCTCATGAGTTTGTGTTTTAATTTCTTTTCACGTTTATAAATTAGCTTCATAGATATTGGCAAGAAAATAAGAATTTATTAAAGTTTTATGAAGATAATGAGAAGTTAAAAATCTCCATTACAAAAATTTCTAAGGTTCAAAGCCAGAAAGATTATATGTGCAGCCACGAAATGTCGAAGATACTATTGTAACAGAATCAACTAAACTTTTTGCGCTTTACGATACCGGATTTATTTTATGCACTTATACTATCCAAGAACAAAGGTTCTCGCAAAAGAGACCTAAAGACTCAGCGACAGATCTTTTATGACTAGCCTGTTGGATAGAAACCGCAGTTCTCGGTCTATCCGGCTCGGTGCTCAGGAATTCTTAATGCCCCGTTTCACTTTTCTCAAACAAGGATATGAAACTTGCTTTGCACTCACCTGCTCTTCTAGCAACTTAAATATCAGATATATTTTTTTTGTGGCTAAACCAACAGTCTTCCAAGTCGAGGCACTACCAGTACAGTAGTCCCCCGTACACACCCTACGTGGGTCCTTCTCGTAATACACTCGATTAACTGTGACCGTAATTAGTCACTTACAAATCACAGCTACCAACCATTACAGACTGTAGCTTGATGGACTGTATTTACTACTGAAGATCTTTGACTCATCCGTCTCCAATCTCCTAAACTTAGACGTTTTACGGACCTCAGACAATATCTTTTTATGTTAGAGCCTTGTCTTATACTTAATCCTTTTATTCTTATTTTACCTTTATACTTGACAAACACTTGTCAAAGACTTAGTAATATACCAATAAATACTGATTACGAATAAAGTCCAATAAATAGAAAAAAAACTGCCTACTGACACGTAGTAACAGATGAAATATAGTATGAACTGAGGTCGAGAATCACAGTCGACAAATGAGTCAAACAACTGTTAAAACACTTGGTAGAACTGACGTTAAAACTTGAAAGAACTAGTAAAGACTGACTTTATCTTAATTACTGCCCCTTTTATGCGTGGCTTCCGTCTGCTTAGGTGATGACCTCGAATGACCCTACAGTGCCTCTTGCGAGCGGTCGCGACAATTTTTTTAAAATAAGAATTTTCCTTTGTGCAACAGAGAATTATGTGAGGTTTTCTGGCAAAAGAAAAAGTGCTCCAATTAGTGAGACCGCAAATGCTTGCTTATGAAAGACTATGAACAAAGGACGAATGGAAAGTTTTGACGGAAAACTTTTGTTTTGTTTTTTTTTATCGTAAGTTACTCCTTGAAAAAATGCAGCTATGTGGAACACTTCTACCCTTATCCCTAAATGCTTCAATTCTAATTTAGACTTCACAGTCAAAGCTGAACAAGGTTTAGAAGTTAATTGAATTATTTAGTTGCCTTCCGTTTGCATTACTACGGTGAATGGTTAGTCCCGTGGTTAAGTTATTTTCAAGAAGCAGTAAATGTCGCTACTTCACGCTCAAAAAAAAGTCCCTTCACACAGGCCAATTTTACTAAATACTAATAGGGATGTATTTCAAGAGACTTGCTCCTTTTTTAAAGCACCATGAATTGAATGAAAGTGATGTTAACCAGATATTCTCAATTTTTTAAGAACTGCCGATTGAATACTGGCATTTTATAATTTCTAAATCTCCCTGAATCTTCCAGAGTTTTTTACTCAACTTTTATAACTTCTATTTTTTTACTTATACAACAATATCCTAGTGCTTAGATTTCACAAGTAAATTTATGACAAATTATAAAAAAATCTTCGTCGTCTTCATCACAACGCTTTGAGTAATTATCATACACAATTACCAATATATTATTTCAGTGGTAAGTTTACACGTTTAAACCGAGTATGCAGTTCACTTCAGTAAACATAAATTTTGTACTACAACACAGTGCTATCAAGGTTGTTTAAACTCTCCAAACGTTAATCACGATCAGATATGGACAGGTAATTGGTATCTAGCTACGCAGTGTTTCCCAAAGCAGTAACTAAAAACGTTGTTACCATTTTAACTTAGATACTCTGACTTATGCTTCGTTTTCGTCTTATCTCAACACCCGGCATAAGTTCGAATAACTGTTCATATTGTGCATCCTTTCTAAAATTTTTAATCTCAATTGATAGTTAGATTTTTTTGGGACTTCCTTTCTAAAACATATCTTAAGTATATATGATACTCCAGCAATACGGCTAAAATATTCAAGTGTTTTAAATTATGTCAGACAAAAAAGAAAATAATTATTTGCGTCTTTCGAGACACAAACTAAAAAAAAAGTTTTTTATTCACATCAGGAGCAGTGGCAATGGTCGCCGTATTTCCCATATCTATTTCGTAGCAAACCTTCTAGTGAAACGAAGAAAAGGCATCCAAATAACATAATTAATTTTACTGTAGCATACAGCAAAGATAAATATAAAATGAGAAAACTGATCTCGGAAGAAGAAAAAGCGTAGAGAACCTAAAATTTAAAGGCAGCTTTCATTTTTAACAAAAAAGAACTGTGAATAAAATAAAATTTATGAACTGGAACAATTAAGAACTTTTGTAATGAAACTTAAAACGCTTTAGCTAAGGTTATTTAGAAAGACGCGTGAACAGTCAATTATTCAGTCATAGCGGGGAAAATAACAAAACTTTTCTTCCAAAAACTTTGTCTTCAACGCGAAATGTAATAGTTGGATCAACAATCGCTAACTCAACAGCTTCAAAACTATACAGCCAGAAAGACACTTCTCCAGTCAAAAAATATAGCGGATAACTGTAAACTGTGGCAAAAAACAAGATTTTTTCATCCTATCTATCTATTCAAAATAAGACCAATTTGTGAAACTGAAAAATCAGACAAATTTTTAGAACTTATTTAAAACTGCTATCAACAAATCTGACATAAATTTTCTTAATAGCATTCTTAATAGCATAATAGCATATACCACAAATTTCAGACTCAAAAGATTAAAACCTTAGATGTAAGAGCCAGAAGTGTTAAAATGTAATGATTGACACTGATGATAAGTATGATCCACCAGTGAAAGGCCATAAACATGATTAAACACATGTATCAAGAGGAAATTGTTAAAAGCGCCACAAAAAATAAAATAGACTAAAGTAACTT